ATATATATATATATATATATATATATATATATATATATCCAAGATAATCCATTTTTAATTCATTGTACTCGAAATGAAATGTCTCGCGAATTAATTTCTCGTGGACTTATTGGATTCTTTTATCTCTCTGACTGCTGAGATACGTACCAAGTCACTTTTGTTTCCAGTTTCGTTACTACTCTACCAAACTTCAGTGAATGATTTTATTGTCTGTCTGTAGCACAAGTTGGCAACAGCGATATAGTAAGAGTCAACAGAAATCAATATTACGTCAAGTAGACTGATTTCAAATTTTAGCTCTTCAAATCATTGTTGAAACAGGGGACCGAATAACAACATAATAAATAAATAATAAAGAATTTCGTAAATTCTTCAAACAATGACGTCGGCGCAATTTAATCCTCGAGTGTTCAATCAGTGTTAGAGTATCGTACAAGTAATCTGATGCTGAAAATAGTTGGTTTACTTATTCAAGGTTCAACGATGATAATACATTACGAACATATCGAATAGATACGTCAAAATTTGTTAATTTCAAGGGAAGAAAGATTTCTAAACGTCGGAGAGAGAGAGAGAGAGAGAGGAAAAAATCAATTCCAAATACAAAAGAAACAAGTGCAACGATTAGCCCCTTCGGTGTGATTTAACGGAGTTTAGATGATTGAATGAGCCAGCCAGTTCCGCTTCTATCTCCCTCCTTTTCCCCTTTTGTTCCGGCTAATTCACGTTATCGATGCGAAATAATGCATGGAAAGCTTTCTCCCGTCGAAGAATAACCTAACCCCCCACGACCAACGCGAAATACAGAGAGAAGGAGACCAGTGTCACGCTCACGAACGCGAGCTTCCCTTCACTAGAGCATTCCCATTCTTGGCCAGCGCCTTTGTAACCCCCTGGCTGGCACCTTCCACTTTGTTGAAACGTCTGTCGGTTTCCGGGGTCGGAGGCGGAGACGCCTTTCCACTCGCGGCTCTACATCCGCGTGGAAAACTCGTGGGGCGAAGTGTGTCACGAGGGGAATAGAGGAAAAGTCCGTCCGGGTAGCGACGGAGAGTCAACGAGTCTGAGAGTCGTCTCTCTCGTAAGGCAACCCGCCGAGGCTGACCTTGCCGCGGGAAAAACAACTTGGTTGCTTGGCCTGCTACCAGAGTTTCGCGTTATTAATAAATCCAAAAATGCGCGGTGGATCCGCGTTCATTATCCTTACGCTTTCCGAGACTATGCGGTTGCCACCACCAACACGAAGACGTTGAAATCTGACGAGGTTACAAGACTGTCTCTTTATTTTCCGACTCTGGTATTGATCTCGACGTTTATATCTGCAGGATGAAGTCTGTTAGAATAATTGATGGACGTTTCAAGTTAGAAATCAATAGTATTGTTGAATTTTTTCCCTCCAAAGATGGGACACTCCGTACGAAGTATCTTCAATCTCTACTTTTGAACTTTATAAACGGCGATTCGCAATCAGATTAATTCAGTTCAGTAAACAGTAAATAATAATATAAACGTTTCACTTTATTTCATTACTTTTTAATTCAATTGGATCTATGATTTTCCCATCCGTGTTGGAATATTCTATCAAGAATCTCTGGCTTTCAGTTGAAGTCTTAAATCCGTTAAATCGCAAAACCCTTTGTCCGAACATAATCTCGAAATGAAAGGGATTTTCACTTTTGCCCTGAAATAAATGGCAACCACCGATCGCGTCCATCGCCTCCTCGTCCTCGTGTAT